AACCAAATAACTGTCAAGAAAAAATACCCTTTGCCCGTCTTATACTCTGCTTTTGAGCCTGTTCAAGGAGCCACTGTTTTCACCAAACTGGATATTAGAAATGCCTATTATCTTCGTATAAGGGAGGGAGACGAATGGAAAACCCCTATTGACACTTGGAATACTTGGTTATGCCTTTTGGTTTGACTAACATTCCTGCTTGTTTCCAAGCCCTAGTAAATGATGTCCTGCAAGACTTTTTTAACATCTTTGTTTTTGTTTATATTGATGGTATTTTCATCTTTTCCAAAGTCCTGTCAGAGCACAGGATCCACGTCTGCCAAGTTCTACAGCGACTTCTGGAGAACAAACTATTTGTTAAGGCCGAGAAATGTGAGTTCCACAAACCATCAGTCTCCTTCCTGGGATACATCCTTGAGGGCGGACAGGTAAGACCCACTGAGGAAAAGATTAAAGCGGTTCTGGATTGGCCCACTCCCGAGACCAGGAGCTTCAAATGTTTCTGGGCTTTGCAAACTTTTATCGTTGTTTCATTCGGAACTACAGCCAAACAGCTCTACCCCTTACCTCTCTCACATCTACCAAGATCCCCATTTGTCTGGTCCCCTGAGGCTGAGGTAGCCTCAGCCTTTGTTTGTTTGAAGGACCTTTTTGCTAATGCTCCAGTACTCATTCAGCCTGATTTCACTAAACAGTTTGTTGTGGAGCCGTCCTCTCCCAGATCTCAGACACTGATAACAAGTTACACCCATGTGCTTTCTTCTCTCGCAGACTTTCCCCAGCTGAGAGAAATTATGACGTTTGAGACCGAGAGCTTTTAGCCATAAAGCTAGCACTCGAGGAGTGGAGACACTGGCTAGAGGGAGCAGCTCACCCTGTTTTGGTTTGGACAGACCACAATAACCTATCATAGATTCAGTCCGCCAAGAGACTTAATCCTCGTCAATCCCGCTGGTCTCTGTTTTTCTCTCGGTTCAACCTCTCTATTTCCTATCATCCAGGATCTTGTAACATTTAGCCTAATGCTCTCTCTACACAGTTCGCACCTGACGAACCTGAGAAGTCTGCTGCTCCTATTCTTCCTCCTAGGGTGGCCGCAGTCACATGTCAGATTGAGGACCTTGTTAAGCAGCATCAGCAGTCTGAGCCTGACCCTGGTACTGGTCCACCCAACAGAATTTTTGACCCTTCCTCTATTCATGCACGGGTGATTAACTGGCTCCATACCTCCAAGTTTTCTGCTCATCCAGATATCAGTTGAACTGTGGCTCTCATGAATCAACGTTTTTGGTGGCCCTCCTTATAGAGGATGTTAAGGAGTTCGTATTAGCCTGCCCGACCTGCGCTCGGAACAAGTCATCTCATCAGCCTCCTGCCAGATTACTACAGCCCTTGCCCATTCCCAAGAGAACCTGGTCTCACATTGCCATAGACTTCATCCCTGGACTGCCCACCTCTAAAGGTATGACCAGCATTCTCACCATTATCAACCATTTCTCCCCCCCTGGATATTGATGGTCACCCTGCCTACACGGTCCACAGGAT